AGTAATGCCATTGGATTGTTTCAAAGCTTATCGTTTGTTTTTTCTACTGTTACTAATGTGTATTTGTAACTTTTTAAAATAAACTACAATAAAAAGCGCTAATTCATTAAGATGATAAAGTCGTACGCATGAAATATCACGTTTTATTCTCTCACAGATTATTACAAAATTTTAATTTCAATGAAAACTAAACTTAAGTCGGTAAAATGTAATTTGTCTGGAGTTCTATCGATTTTAAGAAGAGTAACGTGTATTAAAACGAGTGTGTAATTCGTCAGATAAAATTCTTCTGAAAATTCATCCACGCCATTGAAGCGTGTCTTAATAAATCAAAATATAAATAAGGAAACACTGAACATTTCTAGTCATGTGCTAAAGTTGCTTAGTTTCTTACACAATCCTAGATCTGCTCAAAACTTATAATAAAAAAAACATTCTCAAGCTTGTAAGTTTACGATACCTCCAAGCTTAAATTGATTGTGTGTTAAAAGGAGTTATTACCCTTCAGAATGTTTTAGACCTGCTCAAAACTTATAAAAAAAAAACATTCTCCGGCTTGTAATTTTACGATACCTCCAAGCCTAAATGAATTTTGTTAAAAGGGGTTTTGTTGGTGTGACTGCAAAGCTAGTTTTACATTGAAGATGGTGATAGATGGGTCAAGTTTGAATAAAAAAAACAACAAACAAATCATTTCTGGTTGCTAATCACCTTTGTGCGATCTATATCACAAAACCTACCTAGTAGATACATAATTAAAGACAAGGTATGCCGAGTCTCGAAGAGGTAACTAGTTTAATAGAAGGTTTTGGGGACTTTACATTGAGGACGCTGTGATTTAGTGATGGCATGTAATCTATTTTTTAAATCTTATTATAAACACCCGTTATATTCGACCTCGCGCTCTTCCATCGGTTTCACGAAAGGTCGTCAGTTTGTGTGGTTTCCAGTTGGCGAGTCAATAAGTGAATGATGATCGTGGCTGGAACTATAGTAACCATGCACGCTGAAGAAATTACTTCGGCGAAAACGTGATCAAGTCTCCAGATAAAAATCAGACAAGTCACTGAAGACAGTTTCTAATTACAGACTCAAAACGTGAAACCCTGGGAAAATATGAAGCATTTCATTTGGCTCTGTTGTTACTCTGTCTGTTTTTAATGAATTGTTTTAACATTGTGTAGCAATACAAAACTCAGCACATTAACAAGAAACACTCCTAGGATGTGTTTTAAAAGTTTCACGTATTTGTCAACACACACACACATATATATATATATGTGCTCGGCGTTGCCTAGTGGTTAGCATGCTGAACTGTGAATCTGAGGTTCCATGTTTCGTGTCTCGTTGTGGTAACAACGCGCTTCGCACTTTGGAGCGGTGTGTACTTTTAAGAATGACAGTCAAATCTCATTATACAGTCAGACAATTGTAACCACAGAACTGGCGGTGTGTGCTGTTGATTAACTGCTTACACTAGTCTTAGTTGAAAATTAGGAACGGCAAGCGCTGATAGCCATCTTGTAGTTTTGCACGATTATATAGGTCTAAGTGCTGACCTGTCAAACATTTGCAATGGTAAAACATTCAGAAGGTTATTTGCAGTCATTTGTTTTTTAAATTTTAAAACAATAATTACAAATACATTATCCTAAGCCGACTTTTATATTATTCTTGTCATTCACATCTTACATCACCTTTTAACAAATGTGATAAAATGGTCTAAAACAGAAGCGGAAATCAGAAACTCCACGTGGGAGGGTTTGTTGTTCTTACAGTCTGTCTGTTACTTCCCTGTTTTTATACGTCGCGAAATAAGGTTTAGCAGTTGGATTCATGCATGACAACACACACAATTGTATCTCATGCTTTGACGAGTTCAACCGGAACGAGCTTTTCTGTGAAGGAATCACATTCTTTATCTTATGAAAATGCATTTTCTTTTGCTGTCAACTCAACCACGACAAGCAAGAGAACAACCAAGGTTTTCGCCACTAAAAAAAAAGCAGTACTTTGGCGATGAACCATTTATGTGACTATTCGTTTTTGGTCGCCCCCGCATTGGTATTGTGCATAAACTATATTGCTTAGCTATTTTCCATTAAATACCAGCAAAAAAATTTCTTTACCTTGTTACTTTTCACACAAGTAATTACATATTTTAGTTGGGCAATCGTATAGTAATAAACCCTAGATCGTGAAAGCTTTGGGGGGTGTAACTACATTTTAAAACCAAAAATGTTAGGCAGACGGAATTTAGCCCCGAAGAGAAAAGAACACCGGATATACTGCTATTAAAAACAAGTACAAAAAAGTAGTCTGATTTAGGAACAACGAAGAAAACGGTAGTTATATTGATGGTTGTGGTTACTGCTTGATAGATATCGTATAATAAACCGCACACACAAATTTACTTTACTGTAAACGAACTCATATGCACAACACAGAGATCAACCTAACGTGTGAGAATTAATTTTCTATACTATTAGGCGCAACATAGTTCCTATAGAAGTAGGTTGCTACATGAAAATATAGTTTTCTCTGCAACATAGTTCCTATAGAAGTAGGTTGCTACATGAAAATAGTTTTCTGTGCAACATAGTTCCTATAGAAATAGGTTTCTACACGAAAATATAGTTTTCTGTGCAACATAGTTCCTATAGAAGTAGGTTTCTACACGAAAATAGTTTTCTGTGCAACATAGTTCCTATAGAAGTAGGTCTCTACATGAAAATGTAGTTTTGTGTGCAACATAGTTCCTATAGAAGTAGGTTTCTACACGAAAATATAGTTTTCTGTGCAACATAGTTCCTATAGAAGTAGGTTTCTACACGAAAATATAGTTTTCTGTGCAACATAGTTCCCATAGAAGTAGGTCTCTACATGAAAATATAATTCTGTGTTTGCTTAACCAAAAGTTGGTTATTTCCATCTCTTAGAAGATATTCAGCATAAATATATGTAGTTAATGATCCTTGTCACCGAGACAGGAAAGTGTTCACACAAAACATAGGCAAGTTTGTGGCAGAAGTCATTAGATACCCGTAGACCATGGCTTATGTGGAACCCACTAGTTTTAGTTGGTTATTTATCTATTTTCTGCCTATAGCTACACGCCAGAAGAAAAAAACGTCCAACAAAAACAAAACGACGAGAGAAAGACACTGTCATACACTATGTAGATGGTGATTTTTCATGTGTGGAATTCACTAATTTTTACTGAAGACTGTTCTATATTCTGCCTATAGTTACACGTCAAAACAAGAACAAAACGACGAAGGAAAGACACTGTCATACATGACGTAAGCACAAAGGCAGTATAACAATGCAGATTTTCAAGTAGTGAATATTTTGGTATCGATCTAGATAATGAAGAGTGTAATTTCAATAATATAAACTTTAATGACGAAAAAAAATTCTATAGACATGAAATAGTAAAGAATAGACACTTTGGATGTTAAAATTATATATCTTGACAAGCGCGTAGGTCTGTTGACATCTCAACTTCAGAAGAGGTATAAAAATACTCCTAACATTATTCTGCTAATGTGAAGTATAAGTGTTCTATAAATCCCATGTATTAATAGGTTGTGCACGCGTACTCTACGTACGTTAGTGCCTTGTCTCTAAAATTTATAATGGATAATAGTGCTAAAGTTTAAATGTAAAATACTTTATGAAACCAAAATATAGAGTTTGAGGAAGATTAATAAGTTCGATACTTCACCACTTTCAATAACTTCTTTCAAAATCCTGTTCTGATATCTTATCCCTGGGTACTAGATGCACACATATATGTATATCTTCTTCTTCTCCGCATAATCTTGTCATGAGGTCGGGGCGTCTCGTGATCCTTCATCATTTAAATCTATCGTTCATCATACTAAGTCTACTTGACCACTGACCTCTTTAATACAATCCTCCAATCTCTTCCTCGGTCTCTCTATCCGCTACGTTCTTATCACTTTCTTTGCTATCCACTTTTCAAAACTGTTCTCACCCATCCTTTGCACACTTCCATACCATCTCAATCTTAAATGCTGCATATATATATATAGTTGTATTGTACAACGATTGAACGAATACGTCATCAGTCTTCAAATAAGTAATTATAAAAGCATTAATAATAGTAATTTTTCTACGTGATATTCTGTTCTGACGCTCACGGATGGAATAGAGACTTTAATAATAGTGATTTTGAGTCAACCTCAAAAATTCAAGAACATTTTTGAAGTAACTTTAGTGGAAGATAGGTGTGATAAAATAGTAAAATCAAAATACCAAATAAAGATGGTTGACAATTTTTAGATAAAGTAGTTGTTAAGTTCAGGATCTACTAGTGTAAAACTGAGAAGCTAATGTTTCAGAGAAACAAAAAAAGCAAATTGAATGTATTAAATAGAACAATATAATAAAATATTATGAAGATTTTGCAAAAACTGGTATTTTGATCTGTCACATCGATATTACGCCATCTTGAGGGACTTTTCACAGATTCATTCATTGAAAACACACTAAGAAATACATTTCATTTTAACAACCGTTTTGTTGACTTTGTACTTAAGGCATATTTAACACATAATGTTCCACAAGTCTCTATGTCAAAAACCTGCATCATTCAGAGAGTTCAAGATTCTCCAAACATTAGTTCCACTTGGACGACATGAGTCCGAGGGATACAGAA